CTCAACATTTTCGGGGAAGAACTGTAGGCGTATGGCTGCCTTCAGTTCTGCCCATGTCTCGAGTGCATCTTTACCAGCCTTGATGGCTTCGTATTTCACCCGCCACCAGAGTTTGGCATCACCCTGAAGATACATGGCAGCAGTTGCTACCTTCTTAGCTTCTTCTAGGCCCCACACGGCATCGAAGTATTGTTCGATGTCGAAGATGAAGTTTTCCACTTCTTTGGCATTCCGAGCTCCACTGTATGGCTTTGGCTCAGGAATTTTCAGTTTTTGGGCCACAGGGGCGAGGTTCACAATACCCCCGATTTGGTTTCCACCTCCTCGAAGCAGGCCTTGTAAAGCAGCATTGACAACGTTGAGCTGGCCTGTCAAGTTGTCTATAGTTTGTTGCATGGAGTCACCATGTCTGCCTCTTGTGCCCTGTTGGCTAAATCCTCGGCGCGCTCCTGTTGGAGGACCTCAAATTTACCAAAACTTTCGGCTGCCTCTGTGGCTGCCGTTTGCCGGTCTCCTTCAGAGTCGCGACTGATGTTTTCTATGTCAACTTCGGCCTGGATCAGTCTGCTGTCCAGGTCGTCTAACCTTTGCACTAGGCTGGCCTTTAGGTCAGGCACCATTTCCACGATGGGCCGTAATGCGTCAACTGTTCCCTCAAGGGTCGCGATGCGATCCCCATAATTCACCATGGTCAGAAATGGTGGTAATTGCAATGTAATCCCTCGTCCGATGTCGAGTCTGGCTCTGATACCAACTGTTATGCGGCACCTTCCTGATGTTCCTTGGAAGGGCGACGTAAAGCTAAGCAACCGATGTCAGTGCGATTATTGTCCGCCAACTGAGGTCCCCTCCGTACGCTAGACTAGATTGTCAGTGTCGTACGGGAAAACCAATGTCGTGATCAATTGAAAGAGAACAGAAAAGAGAATTGAGAATGAAAGAAAGCTTGATTGCATTGAATGAAAGCTATTACAAAAACAACACGGTGTCGGGGGGGAGAGACACCAGTACAGAGAATTGTTTGCTTGCTTGAAAGTTTGATTGTTTGGTCCCCCTTAATCATGCTTAAAAAAAATAGACCAAAGTTACATCACTAGGCCTATGAAAGCTGGAAAATCACACTTAAAGAAAATGCAGTAAAACTACTCTATATTTACAATGAAAAGGACTTAGTCTTCTACAAAGCAGAAACAAGTCTGTTGGCAGCAACTTTGTCTTTAGCATCAGGGTCTGCACGCGCGGCATTGTCTGCGCGCGCGGCGCTGTTGGCATCTGCCTGTGGTTGGGCGCTGGCGATGGCTATCGGTGGGGCGACAGAGGCACATGCGCGCTTGTCACTTGGAATTGCCGAGACCACGGGGCCGACCGTGACGACGGGCGTTGGGAAGCTGGCCAGGACGCCACGGGGCGCGTCCAAGGGGTCATGAGGCATGGTTGGAAAGCCGCCCATGACATTATACACACAAGACTACCTCTCTTCCCAAAAGTTTTGCGGGAACCACTTTAGGATGACAGAACGACCACCAATAGGGAGTTCACTGTACAAGGCCCAGGCAGACGAAAGACTTTATCCCAGTGACAGAAAATATTCAGCTCCGCCAAACATAGTGATTAACACATTTCCAACAATTTTACAAGAACATAAAATAGTGGAAGATCACCGTGACCGTAATCATTATAAATTCACGAATAAGAAATGCTCTTTAAACTTATGAATGGTTTCTCAACATATAACATGGCCAAAACGCCACATTGAATTTCACCGCAACGTCATAAGCTAGCCAGCCACATCACCTAACTGTTATGTTGCCTTCCACGATTTTGGTTGTCGCAACTATGTAGTTTGTCTTAGTACTAATTGTCTAAACGGCATTTAATTTTATATATGTTGATTTACGTGATTATTAAGACCAGAACCAAAGTATGAAAACCGGCCGAAGTTTATTCATGAAACAATTGTTGCACACTACTCTTCGTATTTTCCCCTAGATACGAGCCTCCACCCCTCCCTTCAACTTGTCACCGTATGACTAAATACAAAAATCTAAAAGAGCAATTCCGTTAAAAGGTCAATAATCTCTTTTTCATGAACGAGAAACAACCCTGACACAATTCAAATAAGTGGATAATAAGTCCGCCCCTTTACCCTTGTCAAAAGATTAGGCTTTTGTTTGGGGCAAGGATCTAAGGCCTACATCATGCGCCGCGTTCCTAATAGACAAAACCCGGTCTAATCAGACAAAAACCGGGGGCTAAAAAGTTAATGATGTATTACACCACAGCACCAGATAAAATGAAAAGACTTTTCTTAAAAACATCCAACTAAAAGAGAAACCTATCACAAAATTAGCCTTGACAAAGGTCCATAATCATCAAAACCACTACAGTAGGTGGGAGAAAGGAAGCCGGACAAGTTCGTTAAGATGGTACAAAGCTCTCAACAAGATGCCTTGTTTCTAATCTGTTTGGAAAGACACAAGAGCACATTCACCACACAAAGCTGTTGACAAGAGAAAGCTCAAGATCTAAAAGAGGTTCCAACCAGTATCACTTTATTCCCGGACAACCTGGATGGCAAGAAAAACAATCAGCATCTTCAAACTTGAACATACTAGTAAGTCTTCAGGGAAACAAAATTGACAGTATTTTCTATGAAATTTCGTTCTCTTGAATATGATAGAGTAGCTCATTACTTTATATTAGGAAATGTCACTCTATAGAAATTCCAAATTACATTGTAGCAACAAGTGTTTACCCTCAAAAGAATGGTGGAGTCAAAATGAGAACTCATACAGTTAAAAAACCAACCATAATAAGATTCATACACCCGTAGAGTGCAACAACTCACAACTCAATTACTCATTATTCAAATCGGACACGGAAACCAGAAACCTGGGAACTAGTGCAGTAGTTTGACAACTATACAAAACCAAGACCACCCCAAGTTTCCCGCAAAGCCACAGGTTAACAGTTCAGACCTTGTGAAAGAGCTTGTAGCCTCTTGGCTCAAGCAATAACAACTTTCAAAATCAAATTCCACGAAACCTGAAGTGAGGGAAAAGG